TTATTAGTTTATCCTGGCTTAAGATGCCACGCAATGTCATTCTGGGTGTGATGCACTAATGCAGGGACCTGTCCTACAACCTCTTCAATGGATCAATTCCAGAAAGCCTTGGGCAGTTGACTTCTTTACAAAGATTGTGAGTTTCTCTAGGCTGTAGCAAACCCGAAAGATGAATGAGCTGATAAGTCTGACTTAAAAGGTCTTTATGCAGGAATCTTAATGGAAACTCCCTGTCTGGAAGAGTCCCTGAAGCACTTGGAGGAAGGCTTTTGCATAGAGCTAGCTTCAAGTATGTATTCAACGATTTAGTGCCTCTTTGACATGTTTTAAGTTTTTGTATTTCAAAAATTAATTTTTCTTACAACGAAGTTCTCAAAAAGTGTTGCAATGAAGTAGCAGTTAGTGTTGTGGCTCAAAAAGAAAAAGTGGTTAGCATTTGGTGATACCAAAAATGCATGCTTTGCTGTCAAATTACTTAAAATTACATATTTAAAATACTTCAGCAATTGATACTTATTGAACTGAAATTTAATTTCATCCATTGTGACTATATAATTAAGTTTTAAACTTATATCTGGACACAATGTACAGATTAAATCACAGTAAATATAAAAAGATCTCCGGCTAAAATACTTATAAAACCTGCATTATAAATTTGATTATAATGAAAAGAGTAAGAAGAAATAGAACGTTTGGATTGAAAACATATCCATATCTTGCCATCTTGGCCAGAAAACCAAAAGCCAAGACAGGCGCATCTCATAAACATAAGCGATTTTTTCCTTGTCCACAGGCCAAGCGGGCTTTTAATATCTGGTTTAGAAGCTTTAAACTAGACTTCATGGATATGAACACAAGAAAATGAATTATCACATGTCCGTGCTATTTGTCTGAATTATCCTTTCTTTGCTGGGCAATAACTGTTGCTAAAATCTGTGCCATGCATGTGGATTCTACAGTTTCACTGACAACCCAGGTCTGTGTGGTATCCCCGGATTACCCACATGCGGAACTCACCTTTCTGCTGGCGCTAAAGTTGGCATTGGCTTAGGTGTTTGCTTTGCATTTCTATGTCTTGTTACCTGTTCAGTTTGTTGGTGGAAAAGGCGGCAAAATATTCTCCGAGCTAAGCAAATTGCTGGTAACACATTCAACATTTATGCATTATACTATCAAATCATTATACCTATGATGTCTTCATGCAATTGAAATCCCCGTGGCACCTCATTTAGGAAGGTTATCATAGTACTTTAATTCAAATTATGACTTTTGGATCTGATGTAAAATTCGAATTCCAGGTAACGGAAAGAGATTAACTCGAGCACAAAAAAACTTAAGAAACATTAGAAGTTAGTACTATTGTGAGTCTATGAATATATGTTAGCAGTTAAGTGAGATAGAGATACATGTATCATATATGTGTTCAATGTGATACACGTATCACACTGCAATACCTGTATCTTGCCTCTTTTTTTTAAATATATCTGAAACACTTACATAAAACTCAACTTTTTATATTATCTATTCTTCATGTATTAACTTTATTAATATACATATGATTTATATAATACGCATCTGCAGCAGTATTTTAGAATTTTAAAAATTGCCACATCTCATGTATTATATCTTGTCATATTTAATATAAATTCTCGTACATGCAAGTTTATTCTCTTGATTACCTCTTGCAGCAAGGGCAGCTCCATATGCAAAAGCAAGGACCCATTTATCTGATATCCAGTTGACAAAGCATCATCCCCACCCCCACCACCACCATCACCACCACCACCACCATCATGGTAATTCCCGCACTGCAGCTGAGAACGGCCCTATATTGCTATCATGATCTCATCTCATCCTTTTCATACATCGTCAGCTCCAAGTATTACTCTATCTCCTCACTCCCATATTTTTTTCCCCTCCCAAATCCAAGAAACTCCCTCCTATATTGGCTGATCATGTGACATCTAGGTAGAAATCTTGAATACTATGTTCTTTTGATCATAAGGCCAGAGTTTCTTGACTTGAGCTCGCTGAATTCCCTAATATTTTAAACAGGCTGAGAACGCACACACTGCCATTTTGTAAATCAGAAAATTTTGCACATTGCCTTTGTTCACTTGTTTGCTTTTCTTTGTATGGTTTAACTTTGTTAAGGGATTTTTTTTTTTTTGGGAAAGACGGTGTTACAAAACGAAGGACTACACTGATAGAAATCACAGTGTTCAGTTTGTAAGAGATGGATTTTCATTATATAGGCTGGGCTGTACTTCAACTAATAATACTAGATTTATTTCCACTATGGATGTCTTGTAACAGTGTAGTTATTTATAATTTGATGTTGAGGGAAGCTATGTAACTAACTAAGGAAACTGAAATTTAATTTCTTAGCTATGGAAAAGAAGCCATTATAATGAAGTTGCATGCATCTTTTTTCCCGATGCCAGAAGGATCCCCTGCATTTAGGAGTACATGTATGGAATGCAGTTAAACAGAGATTTAAAAACTACTTTGATATGGGAGTACTGAAGCATCAGATTGAAATGGTTTTTCTTGTTTGTTCTACCAGCATGCACGTGGCACTCTTGGCGATTTCTGAGTTTGTTCTCATATATTAGCCTATAAATGATGGATTAACACTCTGCAATTTCAATTGCAATTTTAAATACTCCTGCAGTCCTAAATGTAAAACATTACAAAATGAGTCTTATTTTTAGGATTAAAGAGTGTACCTCTTTAATGCTCCCTTTGGTCCTTATGAAAATGCACCAACTAAAAAGTGTTCTCACTAAAAACCATCAGGTTGAAATTGGCTTTTTTTTTTGGTTCTATCTTCATGCATGTGACACTCTTGGCGGTTTCTGAGTTTGTTCTCACATATATTAGCCTACAAACGATGGATTAACACTCACGTAATTTCAATTACAGTTTTAAATACTCCTCCAATCTTAAATATAAAACATTATAAAATGAGTCTTATGTTTAAGATTGAAAAAAGTATCTCTTTAATGCTCTATTTGGTCCTTATTAAAGTGCACCAACTAAAAAGTGTTCTCACTAAAAACCATTAGGTTTAGGGGTACAAGATGTGCCATTTGTGGGGTTTGATATCCATCTCAAGCTTTGTCCCTGCCGTCAATTTTCTTTCAAAAAAAATTAGAAGGTTCTTTAGGTCCTTTTTATAAAATACTGCTAGTTTCAAAGAGTATTAAATATTCTTTCTATCATTATTTAGAAATGGTTTATAATAGGGACAAAGAAATTATGATTTAAATGCTGAAAATCCTTGAAATGAATGGGTCCATACGTCTTTACGATAAAAAATCCACAATACCACTCTTGTTTTTGTCACCTGTAGGAAGTGATTTTGGTCCTTTTTATTTGTCATTTGTACTTTTTTTAATGCTTCATTTTTAATGATATTCTTACTAATTAAGGGAGACAAATGTAAAGGTAAAGAGAGAGGGAATGAGTGAGTAAAAATATACTAACTGTTTAAGAAGAATAAAAGTAAAAGATTTTACAATGTATTTGATGATTTTCTTGATATATGAGAAACTACTGAAAGTCATAGTTAAAATAGACTGAGTGGTACCATTAGAATTAATTAAGCAGGAAAGCCCAACACTTGCATTTAATGATCCAATTCAATGAGTATTATGATTGTGATTTGCGAGCCCTCCTTCAATTTCCCATAACTGATAACTTCACGTAGAGCCAGGAAAACAAGCCTACTTCGTCAGGCCGGTCCGTTTAAGCTCTAAAATTATGAGGGCCGGGCTTGAAATTTTTTCCCTCTAATGGGAAATAGGCCCTTAAGGGCTGGCCCTGGAGGGTCGAGGGCCGGCCCGTTTAAGCCCTTATATATATATTTTAAATTTTTTTAGGTAATTCTAATAGTATTAATTTTTTTACATTGTTAATAATATTTCAAATATTTAGTTATTATTATCATTTTAAAATTAAATTTTACAGAATGATTTGATTTATTTAGTTTTAGATAATAATTTATTCAATTAAATTTTTAAAAAATGGGTTAATTTGGACTTTAATAATGATTTGATTTATACTATATGTGTTGGTATTTTTTAAACTATATATATTTGATAATAGAGTGTTTTTATACTTATATAACTTGTGATTCTATAATTTGAATTAGAAATTCATGAGTTTCAACAACAATTTTTCTCACATTAAAGTAAAATAGTAATTAGATTGCAAAATTTAAAAGTAAAATTTACATAAAAAAACTTGATATTTTTGTTACGAAAGAAAATCATATTTATGAAGAAGAGTAATTGATTATAGTGATGATGAAATTTCAAAAGATTAATGATAATACTTATTTATTGCACAATTGCACTATAGATAAAATTTTTGGATGTTGTTATCTTGTTAATGAATGTTTTAGATGTTCTTGAATATTGATGGATATTTATATATGATGATATTTTGTATTTGTGACTTAATTTTATTCATATTATCTTTTATTAACAATTTTATTGGTTTATTTTCATTTTTTTAATAAAAAATATGAGAAAAATAAAAAATAATATTTTTCTTAAACGGGCCAAAAGCCCGCGGCCCGGCCCTAAGCCCGTTAACTTAATGGTCGAACCTAGCAAATTGGGGTATTTTTAAAATTTCAGCCCTGGAGGGTCGGCCATTTTAAGCCCATCAGCCCTAAAGCCCCGGCCCTACTTCCCACCTCTAACTCCACGTGCCCCATCAACAAAAATTCTCCCATCTTTGTCAAACACATGTGCAAAAATAATTATCATTCCATATCCCCTTACCAGAACCTACTATCAAGACCAGGGTCCTTTGATACTCAGAGGGTGTTGGGATACCTTGAGAAGTGTTTTTAAAAGTATTTTTTAATAAATTAAAACAAACTCTTTTATATATTTATTTTGTATACTATAAAATTACTTTTAAAATCATGATTTGAATTCCATCTAAATACCCTCTTAATACTTATTGAGGTTCTCGGTTAAATTTTTGGCAGAGAAGATGAAGAGAATACGCTAATTCTTTTGTAAATAAAAAATGTTAATTCAATATCAGTTGTAAAAAAAATTGTTAAAAATAATAAATATTTCGTTTGGTTTATGATATAAAGAGTTGGTTAATTCTTTTCACATATTAAAATAGAAGTTTAGTCACTAATAGGGGTGTTCATCAAACCCGCTATCTTGGTATGCCCGCTCAAGCCAGGGAAAAAATCACCCAGCCCAGCCCGAGAAAAAGCAGCTTGAAGAAAAATGGACATTTTTAGGCTGGGCATATCACGAGCAAAGCCGAGCTATGGGCAGGATATACTGCCCTGCCCGTCATATATATATATATATAATTTTTTGTCAAGAATATATAATAATAATATATAATATATATAATAATGTATATATTATTCTCTTTCATTTAACTACTTCCATCCTTATTTCATTCAACTGAGATGTTTTGGGGAGGAAGATGATGTTTAAAATCTGATTTAGCAAGAGAAAACGGTACTGTAGTGAAATAATCATAGAAGGACATGTATTAAAGCTTATACAGATAATGAATAGTGGCGCATGTGATTAAATATAATGCCATTATTTGGTGTTATGCGAATTATGGGAGCATATTATTCGAATACGGAATTTAATTTTGTGTATGTGCTGTCATTTTTTCACTTGGAGCTACCTTAGGTGTTGAAATGCCAAAATACCTAATCGGGATTTGTAATGTTGGTGGCGTGATGACATAAGCCTTATAAATTTGAATTGTTGGACTGATTATAATTTTCTCTTTTGATATTTTCAAACACTAAACAACTATCTTAAAGAATTAAAGCATAATTAAATATTTTAGTATGATGGTTACGCTGGTATTTTTTTATGCTGGAAAAATTTTTAAATTTAAGGGGGAGGATGTTCATGTTTGTAACAATGTTGTAAAAGTCGGACCAAAAGTCGAGCTAGAAAGAGCAGTGAGTCATGATTCAAACGGTTGGAACAGTTGGATCGTTCAGTTAGACCAGTAAGATAATAATTAAATTAAAAATAGTGTTATATAGTATATACATATATAATATTATAAACTTAATTAGTATAATTTATAGTAAAATTAGCAAAGTCACTATATATGTTTTAACAAAATAAAATCATTGAAAGTAACATCACCTTAACAATCTAACACTGCGTAACCCCTAAGTACTTAATGTAATGCACTAAGACAAATGACTTGATGACTTGTCAAATATTAGAGGATCTTGATTAAGCCAAGCATGAGTCTCTAAAAAGGTATCTGGAGCCTCTGCACTATAACTATCAATGTCTTCTTCAGAAAATGATCCTAAATCAACACCTGCTCCAACTCCAATTCCAAAGCATCCATTCTCAACTTGAGCCTCATTTCCTCTCTCTTTATAATTATCTTTATAAAATAGTTTGTAACAATCATATTATTGAAATTAGTAAAATGTATAATATAAATTTTAAAAAAAAATTAGAAAACATCTAACCTTCATTGATGAAAACTTTTGGCATTGGTAGTGTTGTATCATCATAAATGATGTTTTCTTCAATCTCATCAGCATGAAATGTTTAAAGTAGAGGAGAATCAACTTCTTCAGTTATCCAATATTTAGTCTTATCAATACTTTCATAATCAATAAGGTCAAAAGTTTTGTTCTTGTTAACAACTCTAAAAAACAAATGACAATAACATAGTATTAGCATTCATTTAATTAATTGTTTGAAAAATATAAATTCAAGTAAAGTGTAAAGCTTGGAAAAATATACCTATTTCTCAAACGAAAATTGTAATGAACAAAGACAAGATCATTCAGCCTTTTATGCTCCAACCTATTCCTTTTCTTAGAGTGTATTCTTTCAAAGACACTCCAATTCCTTTCACAACCTGATGAAGATGCAGTTTGGCTTAACAATTGAATAGCCAACTTTTTCACATTTGGACAACTACCTCCAAAATATTGCTACCATTCATCTATCATATCAAAAATAGAATATCATTAAATGATTAAGTCACAAGCTTAATGCCTAAGAATCAAGAATTATGACTTATCAAACTATCATAAAAATTAAAATATAAAACTTTACCAGGTCGCATTGATTTTGCAGATTCAAGGGCCAAAGGATGATTAAAGCTACCACTTCAATTTTGGTATTGTGTGCCTTCTTGCAAGAACTTGGTCTTATTGGAAGCTATTTTCCTATTATAACCATAAGATATCCATTCATAACCTCTGGCTTTTGAGAAAAGTTAGCCTGGTCATTAAAAAAAAGCAGGATTTAAGATATA